AACATCTAAAGCATATCGACTCAATCTAAAGACTCTTAAACTCATAGGTGGTGATTTAGACTTCTCCGGTTTACTCTAATCGATGTATGGTGGCATTTCCAATTAGCTTCCGGGCGATTTATCTTCATCTGTTTCTGGGAATCTGCATTGAACTTCAATAGACATATGTATGATTAACCAACTGTCGTCACCTTAATCAACTAATCTCTTAGATCTAGCAATTAACTCTCGCTCTCATGCTAAACTTAAGATCATGCATTGAACATTGAATTCGTCTGCTCACATCTTCTCTATAAGAAGCTTTCGACTCCTATATCGACTATGTTCTTCTAAAGCTAGGTTTGGATGATCTGATACAGCACTCCCGTGGCTCTGATCGATCCTAGGCTCAGTGAATAGGTCATGAATCTACTCTCATGCTTTACGAATAACTTAGAAGAGATGAGATCCAGAATATGGCTAAGAACAATAGAAATCCTAATTGATATATATGCGTGTCGATATCTTCAAACAACTTGACTCTCTAGGACTAATCTACATGATGCAATGAATGATGAAAGACATAGAAGTATGCAAAAGAATGAAACAGAAAAGTTAATAAGATAAAAAGGAGTTAGAACAATGGATCTGGGGAAGAATCCCCATCTCCATCGCCTAACCCTAGAAAAACAAAGTTTGGTGGCTCAAAATCTCATTACAAGAGCACACACCCGTTTAGGACTGCTAAACAATGTATTTATAGGTCCTAAGGTCTTCCAGGTATCATTTAGGGTTTCTCTGAAGAGGAATAGCAAAGTGGGCTTTGATGTTGGGCCTTGTGGCTCGTCCTAAGGTCCACCGGGGGTGAGAGTCTTTCAGGGCAGGTAAAACATGTGTTTCCCGCGGGTGAGAGTCTTCCGGGACTGGTGAACTGGGTCAACTTGTTCTCCATGTATCTTTTTATTTCACCATTGGATCTTTGTGATGTAAAGTGCTATGGAAATCTGATTGTCTCCTCTTGATTGTCTCCAAATTTGAGCTGGATCGGACGGTGAGAAAGTCTTCATTTGAGGCTGAACTTCTTACGGTCTAACTCTGAGCTAAAAATGTGAATTTATTCCATTTTGCCATCATATTCCCTAAGTTTCCTGAAAGAGCCTTGAAACTACAAATACATGGAAATCATAATAAAAATTCCTAAAACTAAGTATAAAACCTTTGAAAAAACATTTGAAATCAATGGTGAAAAGTGGTCAAAATCAGGTGTTATCAACTCCCCCAGACTTAAGACTTTGTTTGTCATCAAACAAAACAATATCAAATCTGGAAAAATACCATTCAACAAAAATGAGAGGGAACTCAAAATATCAGCAATTATACTTCTAGACCTTAATTATGGACAATGCATCAATCAGATCAAGTCTAGAAAATTCTCACCAAAATACAAACATAACTAGTCTGTTAATCCATCACGCGAAAATCCACACACTTAGAACTAACTTCCAGTCAACTAGCTCTTAACATTCATTAAAGGTTTCAGTGGTTCTCATAAAAAGGATATTAAACAAGGCATTCAAGATTAGTTATCAAAAGGGTTTTTAATGGTAAGGCTGATGTGTTTAAGGTTACCTTTTTCTGGAGAGACAGGACATTATGCAAAACAGCAAGAGAGGATGGAACTGTAAATGCCCCCACAGTTTCAGTCACATTATTCTTGCTTCAAGATTTCTGATCTCCTTTCTTCAGGTTCTCCTTATATTTCCCCCAGACTTGGATTTTTGTCCAGGTTGTGAATCCATAACTCATAAGTGAATACCCGTTGCATTGGCTCAAGTGATTTCGGCTTCTAAGATTCTTTGGGCTTTTAGTTTCCTTTCCTTTCTTTCTTTTTCTCTTTTTACATTTTTTTTTAGAAAGGGGAAACTGCCTTTTGACTTGGAGTCTTAGGGAGCACGAAAATTACCTTTAAAAATGAGTTTTTCTGAGGCATCATAAGATTTCTGGCACACTCCCTTCTGGTCTCTTTCAGTCTTTCTCTTGAGTGACTGAAAACTATGTTGTTCCTCCCTCTCCGGCGTTTTTGCACATATCTGTCAATCAAACTTAAGAGAGAATGCATGAGGTTTGAACATGAAGGTTTGGGTTACGGTTGTGGTACCAGCTAAAGATGAACTGGCCATCTAGGACAACAAATAGTGGTATCAATAAGGAAAAGATGTCCTAGATGTATATCATGATGCCTTCTTAAAACCATTGATGAGAAAATTAGATGTCAAGATTAAGTTCAAGTAAAATGAGCTAATATATCCTGTCAGAAAAGATCTTCATGAATAGAAGTCTTCTGGTGTGATTTTGTAGTGTAAGTACTCTAGCTACCGCCTAGTCTAGTACTAAACTTTGAAAGAGCTTTTATGAGTGATTGGTGTAGAAGCAAACAGGTTGGTTATCATCATCGATTTTGTCATTATTCCCTCAAAAATTTTTTGACCTTTGAAAACACTTTTTTGAAACTCAAAAGACTTTGAAAAGGTTTTACAAAATCGAAAAATATGAAAAACTTTAAAGAAAATGCAGAATGCAATGGCTCATGCAAGAAAATATGGTTAGAAAGGGATGAAATCCTCCCCCAGACTTAAATCACACTGCCCCCAGTGTGAAATAAATCAGGCAAGGATGAGAAATAGAGTATGTAAAGATTAAAAAGATTAAGGAAAAGAAAACTTACCTGGTGTTGGTGATGGATTGTGATGTGGTTGTGGTGGTGTTGCTTGATCAAACTTGGATGCTAGGGATCCAAAACTAATTTGAAAAAAGTGGTGGTGGTGGTGAAAGTGGCCATGGATGAAATGGAGGTGGCCAAGGATGGATGGAAGTGGCCAAGGTGGAATGGAAATGGCCAAGGTGGAACAGATGTGGCCAAGAGTGGATGGAAGTGGCCAAGGTGGCCGGATGTGCTGGCCGCGGATGAAGACATCCCGGCCGCGGTAGGACGTGTGCTGGCTGCGGTTGAGGACGTCGCGGCCGTGGTAAAACACCTGCTGGCCAAGGCCGAACCTCCTTTGGCTGCGGTCAGCTCATTTTCTTCTTCTCTTTTTTTTTTATGGCGTACTAAGCCCTGTCTAAAATAAGAAAAACAAAACTTTTAATAGAAAAAGAAAGCTTAAACAAAAAACAAATAAGTACCTAAAATGGGTTGCCTCCCATCAAGCGCTTTGGTTTATAGTCCTTAGCTAGACTTTGCAAAGAAAAAGACTTAGTTCAAATAGGATTTTGTCCTAAGATAAGTCCTTTTCGAAATCCTTCTGTTCTGTCTTGCAGGTTCTTCATCACTCCAGAGTTCTTCTGGTTCAAATGCCTGGGCTATTTGCTCTCCTCTTTTGCTCTTAAGTGGTGTAGCTTTATAGAAGATGTCCTTATCAATATTGGCAAAAGAAACTCGCCTGTTGGGCCAATCCATGATGGTTCCAGCAGTTGCTAAGAAAGTCCATCCAAGAATAACTAGATAAGAGTCATCTTTGGTCTTCACTATGTATAAATCGATAGGTGCAATGCAATCTCCAATCCTTGGAGAGATATCTCGGGCTATCCCTCTTGGTGTTGCACTTGAATCACCTGCTAAGCTAATCTTTGTCCTGGTACTTGAGATGTGCTTAATGCCAAGTCTCAAAGCAGTTGCTTTGGACATCATGTTAATGCAAGCTCCAGAATCACAAAGAATATTGAGAAATCTTTCACCTCTAATGTCACAAGAGATAAGAAATTGACCTTTGTCTTGAATTAACTTTGTGCAGAGTTCGAAGTGGTCTACCTTCTTGGGCGTGTGTGAACAAGTTTTTCATCTCTTGGATTGACTCTTTTCTGTCACAAAAGAAGTGGCCTATCATGTAGTCTCTACATGCTTTGGCAAACGAAATTCCTTCTGGCAGTGTCTGAACTACTTGGTTGAACTCTTCAAGTGCTTCTTTGCTGATCTTGTTTGTGTAATCACTGGCTTCTTGAGGATCTTTGAGGTAGATCTTGTAAACAGCTGTATCAGGTGAGGATCTAGGAAAAGATAGATACCTGGCTCTTCTGAAATATGTAGAGATGTTCTCCTTAGTCTCCTTGCTGTATCTAAAGAAGACTTGAAGGCAGCCTTGCTTCCAGACATCGTCGAATGCGAGATAGAGAGGAATGGACTTCACAAACTTGTTGAATTCGATCAGTCTCTCCCTAGATATGGTCTTGGTTATTGGTTTTGTGTTGTCATCAGATGAATCGTCCCCAGGGTTTGGATCTTTTACAAAAAAACCATACTCTTCATCTTCTGAGAATTTCTCTTGAAGGTCATTGTCACAAGTGTTAACCATGTTGCAAGATGCATAAGTGTTGGATTCCTCCTTTTCCTTTGATGCTTGTGCAGTGATTGAGAAGACAACTTGGTCAAACAACCTAGGTCTGGTCACATGAGGTCGGTTTTCTGATGAACAGGCTTCAGAAAGAGGTTGAAAGTTCTCCCAGTCTGAGAAGTCGTGATCCACCGCAGGTGAGGAGCTCAGAGCCGCGGTGGGAGTGGTTCTGGCCGCGGGTGAAGAGCTTGCAGCCGCGGTCAGCTCCCTCTGGCTCTCCATGCTTGCTTCTTTAATCTCTTCTTCTCGATTGTTGTTCTCTTGCTTCCAGTGGTTGTCAGACACGTCTTAGGTATCCAAATCATTGATTCCGGAGTTCAGATCACACTCCTTATGATCTTTAGAAAGTTTTTTCAACTTTCTCTTCTACTTCACTAAAAGAAAAATGGCTATTGATAGCACATTATTAAAGCGCAGTTTCTGTAACTGCTATGCTAAGTGGTATCCGAGGTTGGGTTACTCTATTATGGCATTCAAAAAATGCTAAGCCGAAAAAACTCTAGAGACGCTAAAATTCACTTTGCCTTTCATAAATTCACTTAGACCGCAAACACTTAACTAAAAAAAAAAAAAATCTTAGTGCCATAGGGTATGTTGACTGACATAAAACCAGGCGGACAAAAAATTTAGAACATAAAAAAAAATATTTCCCTTAGGGCATTCTCTATTCACCTTGAAGCTTTCTAGCCGGCCACAATCTCACTGTCCATATTTCCCTTTGACTGTGGTTCCTTAAGTGAAGATCCTTACTTCGCTGTCCATAAGCGGATCTGTGCTTTATCAGAGAACCAGTCCCGGGCGACGAAGCTATGAGAATATGGCCTTTTGTTATAGATCCTCAAAGGCAAGAAAATCCGCGACAGTGAAAAGTACGAAGGATGGGTAGTATGGGTTTTTTTCTCTGTCAAGTTCTTCAAAACGTTTGTGTTTGCTGCTAAGATTTTGTTTTGTTAATCTTCTCTCGTCGTTCTTAACACAGTGACAATGAGGAGGAGAACCAGCAAGCAAAACAACATTATCACTAGCTATTGTTGATAGAAATATCTTCAAGCGTAAGAATTTTAAGTTCCACCAAAGGATTAGGCGGCAGAGATCAAGACCCTATCATTCTCAAGGTAATTGACTCTTGAATGCTCCCTCACCTTTTTGCGGATTTTTATATGCTGTAATATGCGCACACAATGTGTTCGATGAAAGTACAAGCTTAAATTGAGAACAGAGCATCATTAGTTCTTCTCAATTTTTCTAATTCACGTCAGAATTCAGAAGCCCTGGAGAAGATGAAGCTGAAGCAATTAGAAGTTTGTTGCATGATTTTGAACAGTTCTCCAATTCTAAAGTATGAAAATTTTATGTCTTTGAATGTTAAGCTTGTTTTATTCTTGGAAAATTAGTTGCTTATTTCGTCAAACAAAATCTTTTTATTTTTGTGTCGCAGGTGGAATTGGAGCAATACCCAACTGGTCTGCGCATTGCTTCTCGCATGCTTTTCACTGTAAAATCCTTTTCTCTTAGCTCAAAAGTGTACTTCTTTTGTCTTAGCTCAAAAGTGGATTTCTCTTAGCTTAAAAGCATACTGAGAAATTCACAACAGGATGGTAATATCAGTGTGATGTCAGATTTCTGTAGTCTGATTTGTTATCTGACTTGGCAGCGAATTCATATGAAGACATAGCTGATAAGGCTGTTGTGGATTTTGGTTGTGGATGTGGTACTTTAATTGCTGCTGCTGCTCTTCTAGATGCACCGTGAGTATATCATCATCTTTACTCTTCTCTTATCAATACATCTATTCTTTTTTAATGGTTTAATCTCTCTATTGCTTCAAAACAGTTGTGTTATTGGATTCGATATCGACCCTCCGTGAACTTAATGACTAACTTGTGATTTATTCTCTTTCAGATGGAGATATCCATATTCAGTGTTTTATATGTTCTTTGAGCAATATCTTGGTAAATCTTCCAGTCCCAGATCTTTGTTCTACTTACTAGTTGGTACTAGTTTTTGAGCAATATCTTGATATTAGTGTTTGACCTCACAATAAAACGACACTGAATGTTCCATCTTGTGATTTTGATTTTTGTATAAACTTTCATGTAGTTGAACTATTTATGTAAAATTACAGTTATCTATCTTTTGATGATCTATGGAATCAAACAAGTTTTGAATGTATATTGATATAATTTTAGTAGCCAGATATGCTTATTTTGGAGATGGTGGAATCTGGTTAGTAGTTCGTTGTTGAGATTTGCTTATTTGGGTTTAGAGAAAGCTAACTCATTTCTGAATCTATGTGTTCTTTGTCATAATTTCAAATGGCAGGTGTTGTATCTTGGACTTGTTTGTTTGTTTTTTTTTTTTGAATTGAGTGGGTGATGATTCAGTTTTTGGTTTTTGCTCGTAAACTAGTATACTTGCAGGGTCTACTGAGACCAACCGACTCCTCAAGACCACTACATCATTATCTACAACAAGTGGTAATGCTTTGATTCTTCATCCTTGATCTTATGTCTTCTGGTGAAGATGCTTTTGAGAGTATGAAGAGTTGACGTTTCTTCTTCTCCTTAATCTCTTTAGCTTTTGGTTTTTGTTCTAATTCTTTCTCTCTGTTCCTTAGAGTTTATTCATTTTCTCAAATTTTTTTGGAAGAAAAGAAGGATGGTTGCTCAGAAGATAAGAACCCATACGACTGAAGCTGATGGTAGAAAGAAGAAGTTATTTTAAGCTCTGGTTTGTGTCCTTAGAGAAATTACAGTAGTTATGATGTCATTTGATACCTTGTACGTTGAAAGATGAACTGCTTTGTAAAATTACAATTATGTATCTTTTGATGATTTATGGAAAGAAACATGCTTTTAAGTAATCGGTTTTGTAAACATTATTAATTGGATTTCAAATATATATATATATATATATAGAATAATATAGCAAATTATCATTTTATGATGTAGCACGTAAAAAGTGCTACAACACAATATAAAATAACCCCAAACATGTGCTCCAAGAAAGAATATTAAAACATTCCATTAGTGCTATGATAGATAAATATATAATAGCATATGTGAAACTGTTATTGTATAAGGGAGGTCTATTATAACTGCTGTTGACCTAGCGTTTTGGAAAACGCTATTATACCCCTATAATCACTGTTTTTGTGTCCTATCAGTACTCATTTTTCTTATAGTGCTTCATCCAAAGTATAGACAACTTTGTCTAAAGTAGCATCAAGCTCTTCTGTCTTGTTTGTGATCTTTTCTATCTCTTCACTCATCTCTATCTTGTCTCCATTAGAATACCACTTGCTATCCTTGAAATCTCTCTCCAAATCTTCAATCAGGACATTGCATCCCCTCTGCTCCTTAAGTGCTTGACAAAGGGCGATGGTGTTCTTAGCCTCGCCTTCTTTGATGTCTTTAAATCTCTTTTCTAGAATTGCATCATCTTTGAGCTTTTGCATTTCTAGAGTCTTCATTCGGTCAGAGAGACATTCGAACTTCCTGCTAAAATCAGAGGACATTGATTCCAATTTCACACAAAAGTTAGATTCAGTAATGGCTTGTAGATCAAGAAACTCATTCAGTGTAGTGTCTAATCGATCTAGTTGGAGCCTAAATCAATCAGTCTCAGCGTTTTGGTGCAAAATCTGATGAGGAAGAGGGTGAGATGGTCGACGGTTCACCAGGTGTGGCGAATAGGGCTCATCTTCATGGTGTGGAGGTCGCGAGTCTCCATGGTGGTGGTTCGGATTAGGGTTCCGAAGATGATGATCAAAATCACGCCTGGAGGGTGATTCACATGTGCAGGGAGCTTCATACAGGTCGCAGGACCTTCGCTCGGGGTTAGGGTTTCTCCTTGAATGATCCATGATTCAAAGGTTTCTGAAACTATGGCAAACAGAAGAAAGAATAAGCAGAAAAAAAAAAGTTATGGTGTTTATGAATTTGGTTTACTTCCTCTGTTGCTTTGGCAGAAACTCGACATATATATAGCTGTCTGTGGCTTCAACCTCCCAGGTTTAGACCTCCAGCGACTTCATGCCTCCCCGGCAACGGCGCCAAAAACTTGATGGGCTTGCGGGCCTAGGGCTGTTTTTTAAGAAGCCCGTTGGTCCTCCTTAAGTTTTAAATTTATAAAACCCTAGTGTCTGCAAGTGCACAGATGTACGTTGTAGGACTTAGGGTGTCGATCCACATGGAGGATGTCTAATCTGCAAGAAACGACAAACTGGGAAGTAAGCAAACTCATAAACCAATAAAAGTTTTGGAGTTTTGGTAAAGATCCTAAACTAAACCTAATCTAATATTCACAAGAAATGCAATGCAGGATGAATTGTTAAAAGAACATCTAAAGCATATCGACTCAAACTAAAGACTCTTAAACTAATAGGTGGTGATTTAGACTTCTCCGGTTTACTCTAATCGATGTATGGTGGCATTTCTAATTAGCTTCCGGACGATTTATCATCATCTGTTTTTGGGAATCTGCATTAAACTTGAATAGACATATGTATGATTAACCAACTGTCGTCACCTTAATCAACTAATCTCTTAGATCTAGCAACTAACTCTCGCTCTCATGCTAAACTTAATATCAGGCATTGAACATTGAATTTGTCTGCTCACATCTTCTCTATAGGTAGCTTTCGACTCCTATAGCGACTATGTTCTTCTGAAGCTAGGTACGGATGATCTAATACAGCACTCTCGTGGCTCTGATCGATCCTAGGCTCAGAGAATAGGTCATGAATCTACTCTCATGCTTTACGAATAACTTAGAAGATATGAGATCCAGAATATGGCTAAGAACAATAGAAATCCTAATCGATATATATGCTTGTCGATATCTTCAAACAACTTGACTCTCTGGGACTAATCTACATTATGCAATGAATGATGAAAGACATAAAAGAATGCAAAAGAATGAAACAGAATGAAACAGAAAAGTTAATAAGATAAAAAGGAGGAAGAAAAATGGATCTGTGGAAGAATCCCCATCTCCATCGCCTAACCCTAGAAAAACAAAGTTTGGTGGCTCAAAATCTCATTACAGGAGCACATACCCGTTTAGGACTGCTAAACAATGTATTTATAGGTCATAAGGTCTTCCAGGTCTCATTTAGGGCTTCTCTGAAGAGGAATGGCAAAGTGGGCTTTGATGTTGGGCCTTGTGGCTCGTCCTAATGTCCACCGGGGGTGAGAGTCTTCCAGGGCAGGTAAAACATGTGTTTCCCGCGGGTGAGAGTCTTTCGGGACTGGTGAACTGGGTCAGCTTGTTCTTCATGTATCTTTTAATTGCACCGTTGGATATTTGTGATGTAAAGTGCTCTGAAAAGATGGTTGTCTCCTCTTGATTGTCTCCAAATTTGAGCTGTATCGGACGGTGAGAAAGTCTTCATATGAGGCTGAACTTCTGACGGTCTGACTCTGAGCTAAAAATGTGGATTTCTTCCATTTTGCCATCATATTCCCTAAGTTTCCTGAAAAGAGCCTTGAAACTACAAATACATGGAAATCATAATAAAAGTTCCTAAACTAAGTAAAACATTTGAAAAGGCATTTGAAATCAATGGTGAAAAGTGGTCAAAATCATGTGTTATCAGATTACATTGATTCCAAGTGCATTGGAAAGATGATTGTCTCCTATATAATGTCTATAAATGTTGGGATTATCAGACGGTGAGCAGGTCTTCATTGGTTGTCAAACTTCTGATGGCCTGAATTTATCCAAAAATGTACTTTTGCTCCAAAATGCACTCCAAAAGTCCAAATTTCCTGAAAAAGCTTTTAAAACTCCGAAACATGGAAATCACTTATAAATCATTGAAAAATGAGTGAAAAAACCTGCTTAAGACATTAAAAGTGATCCATAAAAATGTTAAAAATCCGGTGTTATCATTAATGCCCATAGCCCCATCGCAGAATCCCTTTTGACCATGGCAACCAAGAGTCTACCTTGCTGCTGGATCCTCGTACCCATTCAATGGCTTCTTGATAGTGGTGCTACTCAACACATGTCGTCAGATCTACAAGAATTGTCTCTTCACCAGCCATACAATGGTGGTAAAGATGTGATTGTTGCTGATGGGTCTAGACTAGCCATACATTCATGAGTTCAATGATTCTTCCCTCTAAATCTTGTAATCTTCATGTAAACAAACTTTTATGTGTTCCTTATATACATAAAAATCTCATTTTTGTCTATCGTATATGAAATACTAGTCATATGTCATTTTAATTATTTCCAGCTTGCTTTCAGGTGAAGGATTTCACCATGGGTCCCATCAGTGCAAGGGAAAACTAAATATGATCACTACGAATGGTCAATCTCACTGTGACTAGTTGTTTGTCTCTCCACCTCAGCAAGTTTGAAAGCTTCTCTTGCATTGTGGTATTTTCGGCTCAGACACCCTTCATCTTCATTTTTAAAAGTTATTGTTTTAGCCTTTATTTTTCCTATTTCTAGATCTATACAAAAATTATTGTCTTGCTCAAATCAGCGCCGACTCAAACTTTTAGTAGGCCCTATGAAAAGATTAAAAAAAAGGCCCTCTAACATATAAAAATGAGAATTTGCATCCCTTTATGTAAAATAAAGTGATATTTGCAAAAGTAATCATCTAGTGTTTGGAGTATTGTTTATTTTTAATCAATACCAAAAAGCCCTTACACTACCTATAGCCACTAGCCAACGATTATATTGTGTCAAATCAAATGTCTTCTCTCTCTCTCCCTTACCTTTTTCCTTCTATTTTTTTTTCCTTTCTCGCACCATTAGTGTAGTTGTTCCTCCTCTACAACTTTATTATCAATTTTTTTTTCTAGTTTCATTTCTCTCTTTACGGCGATCATTTTTTTTCCCTCGGCTTACTTCGATTCCACCACTGTCTTTGAATTTTCTTCTCCAAATATTTTCTCTATTGTGTCCTTCAGCTCAGATTCAGAAATCATTTATCCCTACTTTAGAGTGTATGGTGGTGGTGTATACAAAAGAAGTGGTTATGGTGGAGATAGAAGAATATATGGTTTTTGGTGGAAGCTAATATGGATTTGTGTGTATAGTAAGGTTCTTAAGTATTTTCGGCGGTGGATTAGCTTTTCTCCAATTAGAATTTGTTTTCATAGTGAAGTATAGGTGTGGAGTTTCTGGAAATTTAAATCGATTTGGATATCAGGGTTTATTGGCGACTACTGTTCATACATTGGATTTTTCTAGTGATCGAAGATGAAATGTAGAATCAATGTTTTTCTCATGAATATAGATACGTTAATCTGACATTTAAAGACTCAAGATTTTAGTTATCCTGTTAAATATAAATTTAGAGCTACATCTAAATGTTTACATCATATAATAACATGTCAACAGTTAGAGGTAACATGTAAGTTAAACAGAAAGTGATTAAGTTATCGTGTTAAAATAAATGTTAGAGGTACAATAAATAAGTTAACGTGTTACAATAAAATATAACTTGTTACGAAATCATCACATCTAGGTTGATGTTCCAACGAAAAAGAACATGAAAGTGAACCGATAACAACTATGTTATCATGCAAAGCAAAAAATTAGCAGTAATACATATTTTCATGATACAATAACTTTTAACATGCTACAATAACATGTAACTTGTTACCATAACGTATATACACAACATCTTGGTCTTTATATCTTAACTGAATTTTGCAGGATCTTTACCAAAATTTCACCTAACTTTCTGCTTGTTCTTGTACTGACTTGTTGATAATCGTGTAAATAAATTTCAAAGATGCTTTGGGTTACAAAAATTTTCTTTGTTGTTAAATAAAAAAAGAAAGGAAAGAGAGAGGAGGGCAAAGAAGAAATTAAAAAAAAGAGTGCTGAGAAAA